GCTGCCCGGCGCGCACCCGCCGGGGCCGAAGGTCGCTGGGCCGAGCCCTGGCCCGTCCCCGATTCGCTGCGCCCCGGGCCTCGCCCCGCCGCCCTTCCGGTGAATAAAGCAGAGCGCGATCCCCGCCGGTCCCGCCAGCCTCGCCCAGCCCGGGGCTCCCCCGCCGCCGTGCAGGATGAGACCGCAGTCCGGGTCGGCAGCCGGGCTCAGCCCGGGACGGGGCCGGGCCTGACCCCCGGAGGCTGCGGGCAGGGCTGCCTGCGCGGCCGGTGACGGCGGGCAGAAAGGCCATCACCGAGCCCCTCGTAGGGCAGCGGGGCCGGTCCGACCAGTTCCTCGGCGGGAGTCCCGGTCCTGAGGGTGACGGCTCCGGCGTCACGGGCCATTCCACGCGTGAACCGCGGAGCCGCCTCTGCAGGGACAGGGTTAGCGCCGGCGCGCCCGGGCCGTGTCGGTGACCCCGGTGCAGCGGCGCTAGGACGCGCCGTGCGGGGCAGCGGGAGGATCCCCCCCGGCCTCTCCTCGGCTCCTCTTCCATCCCGCCCCGGGGCTGGCGCTCCGCAGCCGGGGGAGGGTGGTGCCCGGAGGGAGGTCTCCCCCGAGCCGGCTCTCCCCGTAGCCTCAGATGGCCCCGTGCGTGCCCCTCCTCCCCGGGGTGCCTGACCTTTGGCTGCTGCCCGCGCCCCAGCGAGTTCCACTTCGGCTAATCATCGGCAGTAATTGTCCCCTTGGGCTAGCTTCCTGTCCCCGAGCAGCCCCGTGAGGCTGGCGTGGGGTGTGTGTACGGGAGAGAGGAAGTGATTCCTTCCCAGGAATCCGGGCACCTGGCTGGCTCTGGCTCGGTGCTCGGGATGCCTCTGAAATGAGAGAGGTGATAAGATCTTTGTCATGAGGAAGGGTTTTTTTGTCGCTCCATTAGCTCCTTTCCTGTCCTTGGGACCTGATTGCAGCCTCCCGTGCTCTGGGTGTGGTTCTGCTCGCCCTGTGGTGAGGAGGGTATGAACACACGGGGGTGATTCCCAAGCCGTGACAGTGCCAGGCGGCAGCCGGAGTGCCAGCCCGACCCTGCTGTCCCTCAGGAGCTGCGCTGAGTTATGTGACCTCAGCCCAAGCGTTGCCTTCCAGGTTTCAGAGACCACTGTCCCTGGCCTCCTGCCACCCTCCCGTTGACGTCTCTCCGAGCGGGGTGACTTGCCTGACTTCGGTTTCTCTTTCCTTCACTAGCGCTGGTGGCATGTGAGCGCCTCACGTGCCAAGAAGCCAACGCGCCATTTGAAGAGCTTTCCAGGGACACGGGCTTCGTTCGTGTCTGTAACAACCCTTCAGCGTGAGCGGATGCCAGGGGCCTCCAGAATTAAACTTGTTCCAGGCGTCATGCGAGGACCTGCGCTGGTGCCCATGTCCTCACGGAAAAAACAATAATAGCTCCACATACGGTAGGCTCCTGCAAGTGCCAACTCCCTCGATCTCCTCCAATGCAGGCTCAGGGATGGACTCCACCTTGTCCCTGTGAAGAGACTCTGCATGCTCTCAGCAGCCAGAAGGGGATTCTGCTGCCGGCTCCTTCACAAGCTGCTCCACAGCAGGACTTGCTCAGCGGCGCCTTGGGGCGGTGTCCCTTCACGCAGTCGTGTCACTGCCGTGCCCATGGAGGAACCCCTGTGCCTGCTCCGTCTGCTCTGAGCTCCTCAGCCCGCGCTGTCTGAACTCCCCTGGCTCCGGGCAGACTGTGCTGCTTGTCCCGGCAGCTGTCCCTGATCCTGCTGCGTCCCCTCTCTCGCAGAGCCCAGAAAGGATGTGAACTTTGGAATGGGGTCTGTGAACAGGCTGCGGACTCAGTGCGTGTGCGAGACTGTTGCTGAATAACAGGAGGGCCGGTAACCGCTGCGGGCAGCCGTTCTCTCTGGGTGCAGGGCACCAGCCTTGCCTGGGCCCTTCACCATGTTCCTCCTGCTCCCCTTTGACAGCCTGGTTGTTAATCTCTTGGGGATTTCCATAACTGTCCTCTTCACTCTGCTTCTGGTTTTCATCATTGTGCCAGCAATTTTTGGAGTCTCCTTTGGCATCCGCAAGGTTTACATGAAAACATTATTAAAGATTTTTCAGGTAAGTCACATTTTCAGAATTTTCTGTGTGTTTGCAGGGGTCATGTCACATGTGGTGGTGTCAGGAGCAGCTTTTGCCCCTGAGCGGGGCATTGCAGGTGTCTGGGGTGGGGAGGCTGTTTTTTTGGTGATGTGTCCTGGTGCCAGATGACCCGTTTGAGTCATCTCAGCCAAATGCAAGTTACTAGGGCTCTGTTCGTGGGCTGTTTTTTCCCTGTAATTAATCCAATAAGTCTTCAAGTAGAGCGGTGGGATAGTGTGGTCCATGAGTACACGGTCATAGGGTGGGCTCTGTGGGTGTGCCGGGAGGAGGTGTGTGCTGGGACGGGTTAATGTCCCAGGCAAGGCCAAGCGCTGCCACAGTTTGATGAGGAAAGGAGCCAAAAGGGGTGTAGGGTGCGATGGGGAGGGACGAGGCTGCAGTCTCCGAGCTCCTCCTCCCGCACGTGTTTGGATGAAGCAGAAGCAGGAGGTGAGGCAGGACTTTCTGTGCTGCAGGCCCTGAGGTCTGTGGCCAGAGCCCAGAGCTCGACACCCGTCTGTCCTGGAGAGCCGCCTGCGTATCGTCCCAGCCCAGCAGCCACGTCTGGACCTGCAGCCTCTGAGGCTGACCTGCAGCCCTTGCTGACCCTTTTGGCACAGGGAGGCCAAGTGGAATTTTCCAACTTGGGGTCACGCTGTTCCCTTGCCTACCTTTGGCAGACTAATTTTATGGACTGTCTCACAGCCAACACTTCTCCTTGAAGCAAGTCCCTGGTGAGACCAGAATTTTTGCCAAACTCCTGGTAGATAAAGCCTGCAGCACCCTACCCTGGCAGCTCGAGTGAAAGGAAAAGGGGTGCCCTGTACTTGGCAGGGAGGTTTTAGGCTCTTAAATGTGGAGTTCAAGCTGCGAAAGGATTCATGGTACAGCTACTGCTGGTTGGCCAGGGCTGGTCTTCCCCAGGAGGGTCCCTTTCCTGGCTGGGCTTGGGAAGGCAGCCCTGGGGCTTGCAACGTTCAGCTCTTTACATTTCAAGTCCTCCCAAAAGCCTGAGGCATGAATGGGAAGACCCTGAGCTTTGTGAGGTGCTTTGTTCACACAGATGTCTGAAGACCTGACTTCAAATTTAGTGACTAAACTCGGAGAAAAAATTATTAAGTTTGGTTCATCTGAAATTGAACTTTTCACCTTGTTTTATTTTTTTTTTCTTTCTTCAATTCAGGAAGGCTTAATCTCCACACCTACTTTGGTGTTTAGTTTTGAAAACTACTTTTCTGAAAAGACTCTGAAGTCTATTTCAGCTTTTATCAAAGATTCTTTGTGATGGGAGAGAGGAGCACTCCAGCACAACTGCTCACAGATTTGGTGGAAAATGCACTCACTAGGTTTGGTCATTCAGAATTGTGTTTTTGGGGGAAGTGTTATTTACCCGAAAGATCTTCCCAGCTCTAGAGGCTGGTGTTGCCCCTCACCCAGAGGTGGGACACAGACGGAGCAGCGGCCCTGGGTGGCAGTAGCACATCTCTGATGGTGGTGAGGGACCTGCCTGACCCTTCCCAGGTGGGAATCTGGGTTTTCTGCTGCTACGGTCAGGATGGAGACTGCTGGGCTGGTGAGGAACGCCTTCTCCAGAGACTGCCCAGCTCCTGCGGGGTCAGAGCTGCTCTTCTGACCTCTCCTGGGACGGCAGTATCTAGACAATCATCTGCAATCCTGCAGTTCCTTCTGCTGGCAGCGGAGGCTTCTAGATGAGCCGGACAATCCATATGCAATGGATTAGTGTTCCCACATCACTGGCTCCTGATCTGATGCTGGCGTGGGCTGAGACCGGGATGCCAGGAGTTAGCAGTGGCTTCCCCTTCTTCACAGCTCCCCGATGGAGCAGGTAGCCTGGAGCAATCAGCGTGTTGTACATAAGAACACAAGCAGCTTGTTCTCCCAGGCCTGTATTATGCAGAAGAGTGTGAGGCTGAGAGGGTGACCTGGAGGGCAGGCAGGAATCC